GTTTGTAGTTTGTTTACACTTTTCACCCACGTTTATAGGTCTAATCAATTTCACGTCCAACATGCAATGTATTGTGGCCAGTATTAGCGGTTAGAGTATGGACGCTTCTACACTTCGAATTTTTGCCGGACCATCCAGGAACCTTTGGCTTACTCTTTTCAGCATACTGTGATTTGGGACATACTCATTCTATTTTCGAATTCTATTTAGGATAGATGGCACGCGAATTGGGACGCAGCATTATACTAGACATTGTATCTGTTTAGAATGCAGATGAGGACTTTACAGTCACCATAAAATGTTAAGATAAGATAAGACTGTACTTTTTTCCATATTGTGATGTACATCCGATGAAATGGTCCTGAAATTAGAAAAATTAAGGCCAGTCCTGGATTTCATCCATTGGAAACCGATTGGTTCGCTGCTAACAAAATGAAGATTGACGAATGGACGAAAGCAGAGCAGAAACAAGACACACTCTGATAGCCCCAAAAGTCAATACATGTGACCAGATGTGAAGAAAAGTCGTTTTGAAGGAGGAGGGACAGTTATGATTTTTAATTAAAGATTATGAGGGAAGGGTTTTTAAGCGTGATCTTAAAGACAGCTGATTGGCCACTGTGTTCCCTTGCTCAACAGAAAGCTCATCAAATACACAACGAAAAGGGATGCTGGGTTTTCTCAAAGCATACCTCCAAGTAGTCTTCTGATTTCAGGTTTGGAGGTGAGTTGGACGGCCAGCTCCTCTTTCGCTGTGAGGATGTCTTTGTCGGCTCCATTGTTTAGCAGATAGGCCACTATCTGTTTGTGGTTTCTTTTGCAGGCCCAATGCAGACACGTCCTGGATGAACAGGGGACATGAGAACATCTGAGTCAAATGAGTTTTAATGCATTCAGCCGTTACTGAAACAAAGCAGGCAAGGCTTGGCATGAACGTCAGAACTAATCTAACACCTCAGTTCAGTTGCTCAACAAATGTCAGAGTGAGAAAAACACATGCTCCTAACGACAAGCTGTTTAATTAAGCATTTGAGGAACGCTGCCAAGATGGATGATTTGCAAGGTAAGGGTTTTATCTGAAGAGATCATAAACTATGTTTTCCTCAATCCTGATTTATTATTACATAAGGTTGTTCACATTACATCACGATCACGATCAAGACAGTGCGTTAATGCCTTTAAACCCTATTAGGGTATTTATAAAGTCTGGATTAAGCAACATTACAAAAGCAATGTTTAATGACATGAGTTTGTTTGTTTTTTATTGCCACATCAGCAACCTATAGCTATTTCATGGCAAGATCGATATAGCTAAAAACATGTTACATAATAATAACAACATAATTGAATAAGAGAGTATACAAAATAAATAAGCATTTTACATTAAAACCTAAGGATTTTTCAGTTTAATATTTGATAACTTAAAATTCTTCCCCAGGATACATTGAAGAAAATTAATTGACAACCAATCATAAACTGCCCTAAATGTAGTTGGTTGATCCAGAGTTGTTGGAAGAAGAAATGTTTTGATTGCACTACAGTGTTTACACTTTACATGAAAAATCAGCCTGCATACGTCTTGCTGATGCTTCTGCGTATCAAACTGAAAGTGTTTCCACATTAAATGCTGCATGTTTAACAAAAGCGTAAAGAGCCAGGTTAAACTCATATTATAGATCAGGAATGTTGTTTTTGAGGCAACGCAGTGGTGCAGTAGGTAGTGAGGTAATTGACAAAATGTAAATATTGCTTAAAACATTAGAAAATTTTAAAGAAGCTATTCACCTCAAATTATTAATTACCCAAAATATTATTTAGGCGAATATTTTTCAGTTGAGTGATAGAATAAATCTCTAAGATTTGTCTTTGAGTTTAAAACGATTTTAGGGCGAGTAAATAATTTTTTTAAGTAAATAATTTTTTTATTTAAATTATACTTTTAATATGTTTTAAACAGCGCCTTTCAAAATCCCAATGACACTTGACATAGGGTAAATAGAAACAAGAAACGCCCAAAACACTAAAATACACAAAGAGTATGAAATAAAACGGAAAAATACAAGTGTACACAAATAGCCTATAATTAAATAGCATACCACAACACAAACTAAACTTGTACAATCATCATCAGACCCCAGGATTAAATCAAGGGTTTAAGTCCCCCAGCCTTAAATCAACACTCAGATCAGATTAGATCACATATTTCAGTCATGAGGGGCCTCTGATTCAGATCAAGGAAAAGTTGATTTTATTTATTTTCGCACATTCAGAAATTCCCCTTAATAATAGAATTTCAGAAAAATATTATTTGCAATTTATAAATCGGGAATCATATTAGCAGCCAAATGACTATCAAAGTACAATGCTGTTCATGGTTAATGCGTTTTATTTTTTAACTGTTTCATATTGAGTCACGGTTCCTAGTGAAACAAATTATTAAAAAAAAAAAACAGTGGGTGTGGCTTGATTTTTTCTACCAAACACAAAGATCTGGAAAAGGGTTTCAGGATGGTAAAGTCTAGATCGGATATGCGGTCGGCCGGTAGTGCGATGTGCACATTAATATAGATGCATTTTTATTTTATTGACACTGTATAATGATAATATTTTTACAGTACTGTGACGGTTGGGATTAGGGTAGGCGCTAAAAAATAAAATTTATTGGATAATTTAATGAATAACATAAATAATACTTAGTACAACTAATGTTTTTACATTAATGTAAGGGTTGGGGTAGATGTTGATAAAATACAATAAATGGGAAACTTAATAAATAATATAAATAATTCTCGTTAACTTACAGCCGCAACAGTATCCGATCTAGCAACTACCTTTCAGGAGACCTATTACAACCTAGCACACAACTCCTCCTCCCCACTGCTGATTATTGTCACAGTAGTGTCAAAACTGACATTTGGAGGGGCGTGGTTAAGAGTGTTAGCCACGCCCAATACCTCAGACAGGAAAATTTAACTGAAAACAAACAGGAAGTGCATTTTTTACATTTCAATGATCAATTACAAGAGCAAAAAACTTTGTTTTCTTAATGACATGCACAGATGAATTGTCCACCATCAAAAGTAGCAATATGAGCTAACAAAATCAATACGGTTAGTTTTGATTTAATGTGTAATTTAAACAGAGCTGATGTTGTTTTTAAGTCATACGTAATTTCAGACTATATATTCAAATATATTTGAATTTAAAAATATATGGAACGATAAAATGAACGAATGTGCAAATATAAAGCCCACTTTTAACGGTACCTCAATCAGATTCTGGTAGACACAGCGCCCCCGGGCATACATCAGCTCATTACACTAATATCTTCACTGTCAGGTATGAAACCTACACAGACAGCAGCTATCTTATCGCATCAAGAAAGGCGTACAGTTTTAAGGGGAAAGGTTACAACAACTGTATGAGACCTGTACATAAATAAAATGGGTATGAATGTTTGTTCGTTACGCACCATCCGTTAATCTCATTCTGAGAGTTGACGTTGACTCCGCTTTCCACCAAAGTCTTCACCTCGTCAATGTCTCCGATGGCACTGGCCTCTCTCAGACGCTCCTGCAGCTCTTTATCCAGCGACGTCGTTGACATTATTCAATTCTGTCTGAAAATAAAAGCTTCATACGAACTGACACGCTGTGCTTTTGAGACGGGAAGCAAAAACGGACCGTCAACTTGCTCCGCCGTGGATTAAACAGTTGCCCGCTGTGGGTGATTTTCGACCGAGAGGTGGTGGGAGTGTGTTTCGACGTATTAATAATGAAATCAGATCAAAAGGAAAGACTGTAATAGACCGGGTTGTGTTCAAATCGTCTTTCGCCGACTACTGCAATCCACTCGTATCCGCTGCTGCACCTCCCATGTTGGGGGCAATGTTTGGTGTAACACCTTCAGATGGTGATCTTTGGTTCCGGCTTGCACACGATGGCAAAAGCTAGGTTAATAATAAGAGTGCGACCAGAGTTCAAGAAAGATAAACACTCTAGTCAGTAAACAAACTTTGCTTTACTGGTATTCTTTATTGATCAAGAAACTTAAATTCCATTAAAGAAGAGCAGCAAGTAACTGTAAAAGTTACTGTACAGTCAATGTTGGCTTTACATTTGAATAAAAACAAAACGTCACAGATATTGTCATGAAATGTATAATAACTACAAGCAAAAAACTATTTTACCCACAAGTTCACCCAAAAACCGAATATTCTCTACCTTTTACCAGATGTAAATGTTCCAAATCTGTTTGATTGTCTTTCTTCTGTTGAACTTGAGAAAATATTTTGAAGAAAGCAGGAAATCTGTAACCATTGACTTTTATAGTGTTTGCTTTTCTACTGCGGAGGTCAATGGTAACCCGTTTGCTTTCTAAAATTCTTCAAAATATAATTGTTCAACAGAAGGAAGAAACCCACAATGGTTGGAAACCACCTAAAGGCCGGCTTACACTGTTATTTATTTTAGAACCCATAAAGACTGTAGCATGTCAGACTGCATGAGCATGGCTCCCTTATCACACTGTAGGATTTCAGCAGGCATAATGTCAGACTGAATGACAATGAAGACGTGCCAAACACGAAAGAAAACTCCTCTGAGTTTGACGTCATTTTTCCGTGACACTTTCTCTGTCCCACGTTCTGAAATAATTCCTCACAGCAAACATAAACAATCTAGCTGCAATTTTGCACATGGCATGCATCAATAATAAAAACAAGGAGGAAAAAAAATGTTCTGACATTTCCCTTCGGTCATTTGAATTGTTGCATGGATTGAGTCATCAGATTCAGAGCTCCTATTGGTTCTTGGATTGATGCTAATCACAGCTGATGTCACACTGCAAGAAAGTGTCAGAAATCTTTTGACACTTCCAGAACTCCGTCAGAGGAAAAATCTGATCGCAACGGGCATTAAGTGGCTGTCAGTGAACAGGTCAGGTATCTTTTAGGATTTCCCAAATTTGTCTCAGATGACAAAATCATGGCTGAAATCTCACAGAGTGAGCAAGGCTTTATTGTGAGTAAAAAGTGAGTACATTTTTAGTTTTGGGTGAACTACCCCTTAAAAACACATACATTTGTAACCACAAATTAAACAGTCACTTCCTGGTAAGCCAGCATGTTTTAGTAATTTGTTCCCTCTTTTTAACTATGCACACTGCAAAATTACAAAATGCCCTTGTTGCAATATACAATTCCTTTTTTATGATTTAATTTAAAAAGAAAAAGAATTAATTAGTTCAAGTTGGCAATGATTTATTGCATCAAAATTAGAGAACAATCTATTAAGTTGTGGGAATTCATTATTAGTGTGTGCCCCCAATAAAGTAAAACAAGTAAAGTAACTAGTAAACCATAGCTATGAAAAAATGGTTATTTTGCAATTTAAAATGATTGATTTGTGAACATAATTGTATTTGTTTTATCATCTGTAGAATTCACTTTAAATCCAAAGATTGTAATGCATTAAATATACATATATATTTCAGTTTACACTGTAAGAAATGCTAGGTTCCACACAACTCCATGTTGCCCCAATACGAAACAATTAGGTTAACTTCATAATCTTTACAAATTTAAGTGGAATGAACATGAAACAATTAAGTCTAAAAAACTTAACAATTGAGTTTCAACTCATTTAAAATAAGTAGTTTGAACAAGCAACAAAAGTCTTTAAGTTTATATCTTATTTAAATTTATCAAAACACACAATCACACATAATTCACTTGGTTACGAAAATTGGTGTTTGGTCAACAACAGGTTAAGGATGGTAATGCTATGCTAAGATGTTAGGCCATGTTAAAAGCCATGTTTAGCAGAAACCTTGTATTTAAGATTTAAAACTATAGGAGTAAATAACATTATAAAACAATACACCAATGGGATGTACTAAGAAATGAACAATTATTAGAATCAAAGTCCAGCTTCATCAACATTATATCCTCAGATTAACTACAGGCACTTTAAGTTTACTTTCCCTGCAATCAAAGTAGTAATTTTAATATAAAGTGTGTTGTCATTAATTTCACAAAAGTGCACATCCCTTTAAACGTCTAAAATATTACTTTCCTATGCTGTAAACATTTTTTAAGCCACATTAATGCAAGAACACATCTTACCAACTTCAGCAAAGCCTCTGTATTGTTGCCTTTAAACCGTTAAAACACTGGCAGGAGTCCACGCAAATGTAAATATTGTGCGTTACTGTACAGATTAATATGATATCAAACCACACTGTCCTTGCGAAAGAGTAAGCACTTGTTGTTGGCGGGCATATCAACCTAAAAGATCAAAAACAGAAACAGATGCATTTACAAGCCCGTCCACAATGCCCCGAGGCAGTGAATCATCACATAATTAAGCCAATCGCATTTAAATGCAAGAAAGAGCTGCATGAGGCATGATGATGTCAGAGGATTGTGGCCAAGTAATGGATCATAGACTCTAAAATACTTTGAAAAATCATCTTCACTGGCCTGAGGGTGAGTAAATTAACTGAAGTTTTAAATTTTTTGTAGTTTTAAAGGGGACCTATTAGAACTAATGTAAAATACATATAATAATAATATATATTAAAAATAAATAAATAAATAAAATAAAATAAAATAAAAAGTCTCTGATGTCCCTAGAGTGTGTTCGTGAAGCTTCAGCTCAAAATACCACACAGATTATTATTTATAACTCTTTGAAACTGCCCATTTAAGGCTTTTTTTTTCACTTTTGTAAATTAAAATCACTTTTAATTGGCATTTCCGCTTTCTATGTATTTTTCTTCCACCATCACATGGTTGTAACTGCTTTTATGTAGTGTGAAAAATAATTTATTTATTATCTTTTATATTTATAAAAAATAAAATTAATACATTTTTACCATTAGAAGCAGGTTATATTCTCAGACTGTTGCCACACAACACGGTTTAAACCCTTTATAAACTGATATAATAGGTTCCCTTTTAAGATTAGTTTTCACCCAGCATGCGTTTGCATTGACATGCACCAGCTACATAAAACAATTACTTTTAGTTATAAAACTCTTACAATTTCCTCCAATCGCAGTCCATTTTCTTGTCCTAACGTTGTCAGAAATGATGCATCTCTTAGACCCCACTCTGGATTTCTAAAAAACAAAACCAGGGTTAAATTGTAAAGAAATTTGTATAGTATTTTTATTACAATTAGTTTAAGATATTAAGTCGTTCTCATTGTTTTTGCTTTGCAAGTGCCACATATTTAGACTCAACTCCAACAGATCATAAAAAGACATTCACATTTATAATTAGCAGATGCTTTGGCCCAAAGCGACTTACAATTGAGGAGGCAGTCAGCGATTCAACAAGAAGAGGCAATACACACAAATAAAGTGATAATTATACAAAGGAACTGTTGGTGCTTAGAGAATTAAGTGCTAGAGTGAGGAGGGGGGAGTTTTCAACAGGTGGTTTGTTAAACCCACTCACGATAAATACAGTGGGTTTTTTATAGAGTGATTGTAAGAACATTTCTGTTGCAAATGTGCAAAACTGGTGCAAGTGTGAGAGGCACTGTCGCCTCACAACAAGAAGGTCGCTGATTTGAATCCTGGCTGGGTCAATAGGCATTTCTATGTGAAGTTTGCCTATTCTCCCAGTGTTCGCATGGGTTTCCTCCGAGTGCTCCCTTTTCCCCCACAGTCCAAATACATGCGCTATAGGTGAATTGAATAAACTAATTTGGCCATGTGCGTGAGTGTGTGTGTATGTTTCCCATTACTGGGTTGCAGCTAGAGGGGCATCCGCTGTGTAAAACATATGTTGGATAAGTTGGTGGTTCATTCCGCTGTGCCTGATGAATAAAGGGACTAAGCTAAAGGTAAATGAATAAATGAATGGTGCAAGTGTCAGTTAAAGTGTCAGAGAGATGAAAGAGTGTGTTTTCCACAGGTTTGTCAAGCCCACTCACTTGCGAGCCACATTTAAAAGACATTGAATGTTTAATATATTTGCAAACTTTATATTTGCAAAGTCTCTTCAGGCTTTCCAGTTGCATCAACTTAAACAAGAATGTACGAATAAGAGCATAGATCTCATCAATGAAGAATGCAGTGATTTCTTTCTATCACTAACCTGTATCTCAAACTTTGGTCAAAGTCAAAATTGCTCTGAGGAACGATCGATCCATTGAAGGCATAAGGCTGAAAAAACAATATCAGATGAGGGATGTTAGACCAGGTGTGCCCAAACTCGGTCCTGGAGGGCCGGTGTCCTGCATATTTTAGTTCCAACCTTAATTAAACACCCCTGAATCAGCTATTCAAGCTCTTTCTAGGAATGCAAAAAATTCCAAGTACACTACCTAACAAAAGTCTTGTCGCCTGTCCAAGTTTTAGGAACAACAAATAATAAATTGACTTCTAGTTGATCGTTTGGGATAACTTAGTAATAAAGTCATCTGGAATGGCAAAGAAAGCATTCTTGCAGGACTTTCAGAGTTCATCAGGATTCTTTGGATTTATCCTGAAAGCCTCTTTCTTCATCTTACCCCAGACATGCTTAATAATGTTCACTCTGGTAACTGGGCTGGCCAATCCTTAAGCACCTTGACTTTGTTTACTTTCAGAAACGTTGATGTGGAGGCTGAAGTATGAGAAGGAGCGCTATCCTGCTGAAGAATTTGCCCTCTCCTGTAGTTTGTAATGTAATGGGCAGCATAAATGTCTTGATACCTCAGGTTGTTAATGTTGCCATCCCCTCTGCAGATCTCTCGCACACCCCCATACTGAATTTAACCCCAAACCATGATTTTTCCTTTACCAAACTTGACTGATTTCTGTGAGAATCTTGGATCCATGTGGATTCCAACAGGTCTTCTGCAGTATTGGTGATGATTGGGATGCAGTTCAGCAGATGATTTATCTGAAAAATCTACCTTCTGCCACTTTTCCAGATGATCTACTAGAAGTCAAGTTTTCATTAGTTTCTCTTACAACTAGGATCGAAGACAAGACTTTTGTCAGGTATTTTAGGTGTGTTGAAGGAAGTTGGAGCTAAAGCATGCAGGGCACCGGCCCTCCAGGACCGAGTTTGGACACCCATGCATTAGATGCTTCACCAAATGCAGCAATCCAAGAATCTTAAGTTTAAAATGTAAATAAATTACCCCATAAGTCAGAAGTAATCCTTGTGGTTTCAGTATCTGTCCAACACCATGAAACAAACCCTAAAAAATAAAAATATACTGTTCAATAATTACCTGTTTGTTTGTTTTTCTTGAAGGAAACTAGTTTTGCAGCAGTTACATAACTTGACATACTATAGACACTACATACACTACAAAACATTCATGAATAAATAAAAAACATTGTTACATTAAACAATTAATCAGAATAATAACCACTGAGATGATAAAAATATATATAAACATATAGGCACTCTGATCTGTCATTCTGAATGCAACACAATTGCATTTTTTTCTGTAATGGATTATCAAAATTCATTAAAATGAACTGAGCTTTCAATAAACGTAGTCTATGAAGGATTTCAACAGCCTGACTTTGACTTCTTTTTTCAATAGCTTTGCACAGCTGTCTTACACGACTATTCAACCCATTTCTATTTCCATATATTTCCATTTCCATTATACAGTTTTAGGTAAAAAGATATTAGATATTCACCAAACGGAAAGAAAAACAAGCAAAAGTGAGCAAAACATGGTACCGTTGTGCAGGCCAGAGGAGAGATGTGCATCATGTTGATGTTTATGATCAGGTCACATGACTCTGCTGGAAATCCTCCCCAGGTCTGCCAGCTCTGAGACACATCAAGATATATGGGTGGCTGTACATTCTGCAGCCGGTGATACTGTCTATATGCCTCAATACTGCAATACAGAAAACGGTAAATAAACAAAATCAGTATTAATCATTAGGCGCTCTGAGTTTTTCAGTTGAGATTACGTCAAACAGAATAAAAGATGCACATTTCATGGAACCTTTAAGTAAAGCTGAGGTAAAAAGTTTTATAAAATCTCAAATGATGAGGAAATCTCCATCAATACTATGATCTAAATCAGTGGTTCTCAAACTGTTTTCATCAAGTACCACCTCAGAAAAAAATTGTCTCTCCGAGTACAACCAAAATGAGCAGTATTGAAATACAGTAGCGTAGTAGGCCCAGTAAAGCAGCTGCTCAGTTAAAAAAACGTGGCAGATTACCTCAGAAATATTGGCTATATGTCATATATGGCATATTATATACATACATTTTGATTAATTTTGAAATGTGTGTAGCATGTACATGACATATTTCATTCCTCCGCGTACCACTAGAAAAAAGCCTGCGTTCCACTAGTGGTACACTAACCACAGTTTGAGAACCACTGATCTAAATGATATGAGCTGACATCTTTGTACACCGGGATGTATTCCACAATAGTCTAGAATAAGAGGCAGAAATAGGCGAAAACAATAGGCTTGAAATGGGACATACTTGATAGATTCAGACACAGATTTAACACAGAGAGATTTAAAATGTGAGAAATAAGCAGTATTACTTTGATGTGAAGCAGTAGATTTATTGGAAGTTTGTGTTCATGGAATTTATGAAATTTGAGGAAAGAAATGATTAGATTTGATTTTTGAGTTTATTGCCATATCAGCTTCTTTAGCTATGTCATGACAAAAAAAAAAAAAAACAGATCAAGTTTACCACATTTTATAAATATGACTTTTCTGGAATTATAAAAATATTTTAACAATAAAAAGTCATCAATAAATAATACTTAAGATAAAATACAAAAATAATAACAACAATAATAATAATAATAATAAAATTGCACAAATCTGAAAAGTTTCACATTTAAATATATTTCATTAAAAGTCTCTCCAGATAAAAAAAATCGTTGTCTGATAACATTAAAAATAGGGCATTCCACAAGTATATGTTTAATAGTTTGGTATTTGTTGCAATATTGATATTTTGGGGGTTCTTCTCCTTTGAGTAAATGTTCATGTGTGAGTCTTGTGTGTGGACGAAAGAAATGTTTCAAAAGCTAAAAAAAAGAAAAAGACACTATAGATGTACAGAATCCTAAAAAAAAAAATACTTGTCCACACACTCCAGTCTAATAGGTGGCAGTAATACTAGTACAATAATAAAGTTGGTTGTCAACCAATATCAAATCACAAGAAGCAACTATTTTACTTTGCTTAAAGACTGAAATGCACAGGTTTTGTGGAGAGTAAGATTGAAAGCGTTTTGTAATATTTTTCTCATTTAATAATATAACATAAAATGCTTTTAAAATTACATATTTGTATTATTTTTACCACTAAATGAAGATCTAAGCGTATACATTTCAAAATGTAATTATGTATAATATTTACCTTGCAAAGGAGTTTGAGATTAAGATTTACTGTGAATTGTAATGTTCTGCAATAGTGATATTGAAACTTAAAAAAAAACTGTAATTTGGTTAATCCGTTCTGGTCTGACGTGGGCAACTGGATAAAACAGTATATTTCATTGTTTCTTTCTATTTGTAAGGACATTGTGAAATTTGCAGTACATTGGAACAACAAAAATGATGACTTGACTGCAAATTGTTTACTTGTTTTACTGAAATACTTAATTTAAATGCAAAATTTTGAAAACAGCTCATCATTTGACTGTTTAAAAAGGAGTTTTATTCAGAGGCTTTAGAAATAAAGAAGGGGGAGAAGTAGGGCTGCACGATATATTGATTCAGCATCAACATCGCAATGTGAACACTCGCAATAGTCCCATTGCAAGTATGCGCAGCATTGAGTTCTTGGTTTTTTCTTTTCTTTTTTTTTATCATTTCACAAGTTTTTTTTAAGGCCTGTGCCTGTGTGAGGGTTTTAAAAGCTTTCAGTCCTAAGAATTGAACTGTTTCTTAATTCTGACAAATTAATAACAATAAATTCTATTGAATTGTTTATCAAATGAAGATTATGCAGTTTTATTTTACATTTGATCACTCAATTCATGTATATTTGTACACAGTTCGACTCATCGAAAAACATTAAAACATAGTCACTGGATATTTTCTCCTTTTTCTGACCATTATCTGTAAACGCTAGAGATGGTTGTGAATAAATCCCAGTAGATCAGCAGTTTCTGAAATACTCAGACCAACCCGTATGACACCAACAACCATACCATGTTCAAAGTCACCTTCTGTCCCCATGTGCTTGATCTGAACTGCAGCAGATCATCTTGACTATGTCTTTATGCCTAAATGCATTGAGTTGCAGCAATGTTATTGGCTGATTAGACATTTGCATATAAAGCTGCACGCATCATATTTGATACACAAGTTTCTTAGACCTATATAATATCAACCGGATTCATTTTTGGCTTGAAAACCTGTTGTACATAATTTGATACTTGTATTTTCCCCTCTTGTGGATTTTCATGACAGTGTAAGGGCTTTTATTTACCTTTTCAAAATGGCTGCTCTCATTTAAATATTCACACTTTTTGGCTGGAAATTATTTGCTAATTTCAAGATGTTTTAGTAAGAATACAAGTTATTATTACAAATTTTATTAAATAAAGGTTTTCTTGACTAAAACAATGCTTAATTATTTAATTATTTATTATTTATTCATTCATTCGTTCGTTTTCGGCTTAGTCCCTTTTTGAATCTGGGGTCACCATAGCCGAATGAACCGCCAACTTATCCAGCATATGTTTTATGCAGCAGATGCCCTTCCAGCTGCAGCCTATCACCATACACTGTCTTTCACACACATACACTACAGCCAATTTGGCCTACCCAATTAACCTGTACTACATGTCTTTGGACTTGTGGGGGAAACCGGAGCACCAGGAGGAAACCCACGCGAACACAAGAACATGCAAACTTCTCACAGAAACGCCAAATGACCCAGCTGAAGTTCGAACCAGCGACCTTCTTGCTGTAAGGCGATTGTGCTACCCACTACGCCACCATGCAGCCTTAATTCTTTGTTACAAATAATTAAAAATGCATCTATCAAATTTGACACAACAGGTAGAAAAGGTGCTTTATTCCTAAACAATCACGTCACATTTTTGTAACACCTCTACCTACTACTACTACAATGCAAACACACAGTATTTAAATGATTTAATTAATGTAATTATTGACTGAAATGCTTTTTCAAATGCATTGTAAGTATTTGTACAATAATTGCACCTTATAAACGGTCAAGCTGCAGTGGGCTTTTTTATGTTAAAAGGCATGAAACTGATAATTTTCCAACATGGAAAAACCTGACAGATAAAATCACATCTCCAGCAATCACTTCAAACGTCTGTGTACTGTGTAAGTGTGAACTGAATCTTTGCCTGAACAAGGACTGAAACTGCTATAACGCCTACCACAAATTTAAATATTAAAAGACAAATGTTCTCTGTTGTCAATTTGTTAAGGGCAAAATTATGTTTTTATAATTAAAATTAACGCTGTTATGAAAAAAAAGTTGCACAAAAGCCTGATGTATCAAATGTGATACAAAAAAAATATCATAAAAAAATGTATATGGCAAAAAAAATTATGATTTTGCTAGATGGTTTAGTAAACATCTCGGTTCCTGAAATTTAGAATGTTCTGCCTATTTTTCGATATTACAAGGTTAATGAGAAGCTGAACAGGTGTACCTAATAAAGTGGCCGGTGTGTGTTTATCGCAGAATAATTTAAAACATAAATAAATAAAAATCACAATGTTAGATATTTCTAACTCGTGCAGCCCTGAAAAGGCTAAAACATTGTATGATTTGTTTAGTAAATATGGTTTTGTTTACGCCTTACAAAATTCCTGTTTAATGCCTGCACTGTATGTTGATTAGTTTTGTTATGTTGTTTTATACACTACGCAGGTTTGATCCTAATGGTTCACTGGAGTTGAAAAAGGTAGTTTGTAGCGCCTATATATATATATATATATATATATATATATATATATATATATATATATATATATATATATATCAGGGTTTCTGCAGATATCATAAATGTCAAGTTTAAGACTTTTAAAAATTTTTTTAAGACCATTAAGTATTTAATTTAAGAACTATATCGCAATATCAAAAATGCAAAAGAAGAACGCAAGAGAAAATGCAAAATCACAAAATTTGTGGTAAAATAAAAAGTTTTCAAATTAAACAGCATTAAAGACAGGTTAGTTGCAACATTGAACTACAGAAAAAAACAAACAAACATCTTAAGGCTGATTTATACTTTCGCCTGCGGGCGCATCGCACATCTCACGAAACAGACGAGGCTTTTATACTTGGCACATTCACCATTAAGATATTCTTTTAAATGACAGGGGACGGTCAAAAGAAACAGACAGTTAAATCAGACTGACAACCAGAGAAGTGGAAAGTTTCCTGAAGTAGGTCATATCATTAATATCATTGAAGATTTTTAAACTATCATTCATTCATTTTCTTGTCGGCTTAGTCCCTTTATTAATCCGGGGTCGCTTATCCAGCAAGTTTTTACACAGCGGATGCCCTTCCAGCCGCAACCTACACAAACTCATACACTACAGACAATTTAGCTTACCCAATTCACCTGTACCGCATGTCTTTGGACTGTGGGGGAAACCGGAGCACCCGGAGAAAACCCACGCGAACACAGGGAGAACATGCAAACTCCACACAGAAACATTAACTGAGCCGAGGCTCGAACCAGCGACCCAGCTACCTTCTTGCTGTGAAGCAACAGCACTACCTACTGCGCCACTGCTTCGCCCGATTTTTATAACCATTCAAGATTTTTTAATCTAAAATTTTTTAAATCTAAATGATGCATTACTTTTGGTCATATCTCAGACAGTTCTACCAATTAAAGTTAAATATTAATGGCAACAGATCCTGGGTTGCTCTACAATTATATATTTTTATTATGGAACGAATAAAAACTAAAAAGTACACTCACTTAAAATACTGACAGTTTCTTTATAGTTTATTTTGCCCACTTAACAATTCACACATTACAGTCTGGCTAGTTTCTGTCCACTACATATAAGCTAAAGAGGCAATGATGGTTCAACATTCCTGACCATTATCACCAATAAAGCCCAGAGAAACGGCATCAGTATATTGTCAACTGATTCATTTAGGTTCATATATTCCTTTCCAGTTACAGTTGAAGTCTGAATTATTAGCCCCCGTGTTTTTGAAAGGCAAATAAAAGAAGATCCAAATAAAAATGATTAAACAGCGCCATCTAGTCTCAGATCTCTGCAAACTTCACTTATTAGTGAACTTTGTATCATAATCACAAGACGCCAGGGAAAATAGAAAATCCTAAAACTAAAAATCATATAAATGAAAAACTAAATTCTATTATTAAATTACTAAAAAATTCCTCTTTAGGCAAATAAAAATAGTTTTTTTTCCATTAACGTTAGTCTCATTTAATAAATACAAGTCATTTCCTATGTATCTAGTTTGTGACAGAAGAGTTCTTCACTTATACACATATAAAGCCAAATAAATCGAGATTAAGCATGATATCTGCGTATATTTACCTCGATAACGACTGAGTCTCAACTTCAGACGGTTGCCATGTAATGTTCGGGAATGCTTTGGCGAAGTGAACGACATGTTGTCCTGTGCCAGAGGATATTTCCAAAGCGAACAGACGTCTGTTGGATGCCACCCTGCTTTTCAGCACAGAAAGGATCGGGTCCTTGTTCCTGTCGGCTGCTGCAGCGTTCAGCATTTTGCACATCCAACGACAAGTTCCTGGAATGGACAACAAAACGGAGCTAACGTAAATACAAGCGCGACCGGAAAAGACATTTCAGTCAACCACTCAGAAGCAAACCTTTAAAAGAAGTTCGGCGGTGTAAAGCAGTTCCAGGACAGTGAAAACGTCCAGAGAGATTCATGCAGTCATGTAGCCTGCTGTAGGTGTAAAAAATGATGGCAGCTCACATCAGGTCACATGAGAAGATGATGCTTATTGAATTCAAAATGGATGAAAGCGACAAATGCTGCAGAAACACAATTTAAATACATGTAATTGTATAATTGTTCTTCATTCGGTCCGTTTAGTCGTGTAAATTCTGTTTATAAGAACGGCAATAATGTATAGAGCTCCACATCCCACAATGCACCGCTTCTACTTCCTTTTTTTCCTTCAAAAAGTGGCGCACAAAGATTAACGAATTAGTTATACCTGTCAACATTGGGATGTGAAAATAAGGAATATGCCCACCATAATAAGGGATCCCCCCATCTAAAAAAAATCACCATATTACTAAATATGTTCACTTGGGGCTGTTTCAATGTAAATAAACTATTAAATTTTGTTTGTAATGTAATAGTTGTCAGTAATATGTTTTAAAATTATTATTAACAAAAGAAAATAAATATATACATTAGCAGCAAATACATTAGCAAACAGTTCATTCATTCATTTTCTTGTTGGCTTAGCCCTTTTATTAATTTGGAGTCGCCACAGCGGAATGAACCGCCAACATATCCAGCAAGTTTTTACGCAACGGATGGATGCCCTTCCAGCCGCAACCCATCTCTGGGAAACATCCACACACACATTCTCACACACACACACTCATAAATACGGACAGTTTAGCCTACCAAATTCACCTGTACCACATGTCTTTGGACTGTGGGGGAAACCCACGCGAAGGCAGGGAGAACATGCAAACTCCACATAGAAACACCAACTGAGCCGAGGTTCGAACCAGCGACCTGCTGTGAGGCGACAGCACTACCTACTGCGCCACTGCCTCGCCCCGCAAACAGTTCAGCTTATTAAAATGAATAGCTATTATAGTGAAATAGAATCAAGCTTTCAATCTCATTAGTCGTTTCTCCTCTGTATAACTTACACATTCAGATTAAAGAGCAACCAATGAATCTCTCATTTATTTTTTTATAATAAATTAAATAACAGGTTTCACTTTAAAAGTGCACACATAAAATTATAATGAAAGTATTTGACTGCTTTCCTAACTTTTAATGCTCAATTAGGACGAAATTAGTTGTTTGAAAAAAAAACCCACCAAAATCGACATCTTTATATGTTATTATTATTAATTGTGTGTATGTCTGTTTAAACACGCATCCAAAACCCAGACTTTCTCTCCGCTTCAAATCGCGTGCACAGAATCCGTTTGAGAAACAGCATTTGTTTATCACTATGGAGCGCGTCAGCTGAAAGTCATGCACCATTATATGACTGTTTTTAGGATTGTATAGGGCACTTGTAATCAAAAGGAAAGGGAATCTCGCTGTTTGTAATATTTATTTATAAGTGTTTTCATTCCTAAACAAAGCGAAAGTACAGAACACTCACGTTTAAGAGCAACGTGTGATTGTCAGACTCTGATCGCTGATTGGTTCTTGTACTAGAAGGCGGGGCTTCATTCGCCAAATTGACTGTTACACTTTTCCCCATTCCAAATAAAATGAGTGTCATGTCTTGTGTATTCTGTAGTCTTGGATTGTACAAAAGGCCTTTTCAACAAACATATCCAAATGTTTTTGGCTGCTCGCGCCATTCGCTCGACAGGTGACTCACACTCTGCACAGCCTTCAACTGCAGCTTGTGCTGTATCAAACAGACACACGTCACTTCATTACTATAGCGACCGTTTTTCGACTGAACTAAATTTATTTAACATGTCTTGGTCACACTTTTTGGAGGGTCAAAACAAATTGCCTCGGGGCCGGGATTGGCACGCTGGCTGCCTATTGAATAGCCCTGGCATACACAATAAAAAGAGGTCATATTTTACATTACTTTTTCCAAGGGTTGAAATAATTCTACGAAGCCGACCATTTCAGTAAACAATGTCTGTGACCTTTCATCTGCATGACTTGTGCAACAGTTTTCAAAAAGCCAACATTTACAGAACTACTTTTATTTACAGAACTACAAATACATTTGCAGAACTAAAAATAGTTTGGGGAAAAATAAATGATATAAATATTTTTTTTTTGTAAATGTTTTGTTAATTTAGTCTTTTATATTACTGACTTAGTTATGGACAAATCACAGAGACCAATCATGCTAATGAAGAAACATAATATAATGTGGCAGAAATAATCACCCAATTATCTTGGTTTAGATTGACAAGTGGGATGCAACATAGTGAGAAGATATTTCTACAGACAAATGCAACCGTTTAAAAAAAAAAATTATTTAATGTGAGGGCAACACGGTGGCTTATTGGTTAGCACTGTCACCTCACAGCAAGAAAGTCATTGGTTTGAGTTCCGACTGGGTTAGCTAGCATTTCTGTGTGGAGTTCGCATGTTCTCCCAGTGTCCTTGTGGGTTTTCTCCAGGTGCTCCGGTTTCCCCCACAGTCCAAAAACATGTGGTACACGTAAATTGAATAAGCGAAGTTTCATAAACTAATTTCGAGAGGAGCAAGTGATATGATCAACTTCAGCTGACCCTCATCACTAATCATTAGCTAGCCAATCAGAGCATTCCAAAACTACTATATATATATATCCTGATTAATCTATATTCCCTATCTCCGTTTTCGAAAACCCCTCCAACAACCCCCTTTTCCCTCCGCCTCTTTTATGATCGAGCAACACAGTGGCTCAGTGGTTAGCTCTGCTGCCTCGTAGCAAGAGGGCCACAGGTTCAAGTCCTATTCGAACCAGTCAGCACTCCCTGCGCGGAGTTTGCACAGTCAAAAAAAAAATGTACAAAAGTGAATTGTAATACAGTCTCAAGCAACTAGCGCATACATGCCTAACCAATCAGTATCACCCATTAGCCAGGGTACGGGGGCATTCGAGAAACACCTGATCTCGTATCCCTCCTATTGCTCATTGACCAGGCGGGAACCTTGGGCTCATCTATCTGCAAGTTCAGGGTTCTTTCCCGGGAAAGCATGCCAAACCTGCTACCCTAGTTGAGCATTATGTAAGTGTGAACTCTTGAAACTAAATTGACCGTAGTGTCTGTGTGTGAATGAGTGTGTATGGATGTTTTCCAGTACTTGATTGCAGCTGGAAAATATATGCTGGATAAGATTCCTGATTAATAAAGAAAAAATAAATAATTAATTAATTAATAGTCGTAATTTAAACAAATTGACCATTTTGAGAGATGCAAACAATAGCAATGGTTCTAATGTATTTCTTGTATTATATTTTGAATTTCCATAGCTTCCAAGAATCCAAAAAGGTCCACATATTGATAAATGCTGTCATGGCAGTCATTTTAACATTAGAAATGATTAAATTGCCTCTTGTGAAATAGTTTGGTGACAAGCAGAAAATGTTCATGGGCCAATGACATGACCACATTGAAATGGTCTATACATTTAAATTTAGCCCTAACACTAAAAGTGATTATTCTTATAGTTCCTTTTGTGATCTCAAATTAATTGCATAACATCACATCCTTAATTGAACTGTGATTAAAAACCTACAAGATGCATGAAGTATTATTTTCCGAACAAATACAAATTGTATTTAATATTCACCACAGCTGCTGATGTGTATATACTGTATATGTGATGTGGCACCTGTTGAGCAAAACAAAAGTGTGAAATCAGAATGTTTACATAAAGCTGTCCTTGTGATAATGGAAAAATCTAAAACATCTGAATCCGAGACACAGCACTTAGACGGAGCACATAACTGCACATAACCTCGGAGAATCATTGCAGCGCTCGTCTCATCTGAGTTTTCTTGTAAAAATGGAGCAGAAGGTTGTTCTCATCACTGGATGCTCTTCAGGGATTGGACTCAGCCTTGCTGTGCATCTCGCATCAAATCCAGCAAAAGCCTACAAAGGTATTAGAACAACACATTTCAGTGGGTTCTGTTAAATTGAGTGTTTGTGCATGTCTGATCTTTACGGTTAACCAAAACGTTATTATTTTATTAATATACTGCACTGTAAAAAGCGATAGTACACTGTAAAACAATTCTTACATTAAATTGAATCAGTTACTTTTTAGTCATCTCAACTTACCTTAATCAAAAATATGAAGTTAACATTTGTATAGCTTAAAAAAATTTTGTTAAAAAACTGGTTAACTTATTAAAGTAAGCTCAATCAACAAAAATATTTGTTGTCTTCAATTTTTGTCAGTCATTTTTTCACAACAAGGGACTCCTAAACACATCACAAAAAATCAACACACATCTGTGGCTCATTCAGAGAACTACACAGTGTTAAAAATCTATGTGCTATCAGCTTTTGAATGGGGTCATTTTTTTTTATAAATATAAATTCAACTATTATTTTGTCCTGTTTAGTATGTGTAACCCTGAACTGCAAAACCATAAGTGCCAATTTTTAGAA